CTAATTAAAAACAAGAAAGGGATTAGCTTCATCCAATGTCTGATTAAGTAGATCACAAATCAAAAGTAAAAGCAGTCAATTTGACTCTCCTTGCTTTTTTTTTTTTTTTTTTTCTCTCTTTGAAAAGAAAACAACTATAGAACTTTCTCTGCATGCATGGTTGTAGGCCGAAAGTAATGGAAGATTACACTAGTAATGAAAACTTAAAATAATAAATAAATAAATAAAAAAGTAGAAAATGTATATCAAAAGTTAGTTTCAATAACTTTTTGGTGTTATGGTTAATTTAGTAATCTTTCAGAAGACTCATCAGCTGCTTCCTGGCTTGATTGGTAGCTATTTCTGAGTAAAAATTGGGGAATATTTTAGATACCTCAGATCTGCTTATTAATATTTCTACATGATATCTGTGGAGAAAATTTGACAATATAAGACAGTGGAAGAAGGCAATGGAAAACTGTATATCAAACCTGCTGATTTTTAGGTATACCACATATACAGTTTCAGTCCTGTTTTTACTGGTTCTTAGGACTGGTTTTTGCATTGTGACAAAAATGGTAAGCATTTGAAGTCACGTTTTATCTCATGACAAATACTTGTTCCACAGTATGAAACCTGAGATCACCAAACTCAAAGAAAATATTTTTATCTACAGTAAAACTAACAGAATAGCCTCATTTAAAGCCTTGCAAACCATCTATATTCAGTCTCCAATGTGTGTAGTGCAGAAATCAAATAGTCACTTCCTCTAGCTTTTGAAGGAAAATGGAGGTAGAAAGAAGTTATGAATATAAATAGGGTTTGAGGTTATTGTGTAAGACGTAGGTTACTGAAGTTGTAAACAAAAATTTGTAGTTTTATTTAGGTTTATAAACTTAACTCTGGTAAAAATATCAATTGGTTTTGTAGTTTGGTCCTTAATCTTATGGCAAATATATTTAAATTAGACACACACTCATACTAGTGATATTTGTGAGAGAGGGTTGTATTTATTTATTAGTATTAATGTATAGCATGCTGATAAAAATGAGCTGTGGTAACATCTCTGATAGTTCTTGTTTTAATGTCTTGTTAGCTTTTGAGTGTAGGTAATGGTACGAAAGCGTCAGAGGTTACCACACGTATTTGTCCTTAAAATATTAATAGTTTACCAAATGAACATAAAAGCAGATAGAAAATGAAATACTATTTGCTTTCATAATTAAAAAACTTAAATCTGGCTGAAAAGAGTTTGAAGTGTAAGGCCAGATTTTGGTTAGTCTAGATAAAGCATTTTAGAAAGAGGTTTATAAAGTAAGCTTACCTTGCTAGGACAAATGTCCATTAATCAGTCAGAATTTTAATTAGTTTTAATTAATTAGTCAGAATTTTCCTGCTCACATGTAAGAATTCCAATTAAGACATAGAACAAACTCTGAACATGAGAGAGAAAGGACTAAAAATGTTATTGGAGCAAAAGTAAACCTCCTGGGCTTGCATTCTAATATTATTGTCATGCCCTTTCAGAAGGCCATATAACAGCTAATGTAGGGGATCATGTTGCAGGTCAACTGAGAATTGCTGAACAGGTAAAGAAGTGTTTCTCCCTCTAAAGGCAAAATTACTGAATATGGTTGCTTAAAGGAAAATAAAGGTCTTGATATTTAAGCGCTGACTATCTGACTTTCAGAAATTCTGCCAAATTTGCTGGCCTATTCTAAGCATGCAGCAATATGGGTGGTTTTGCAACATTATATGTAAAAGTTTGAAGATTCTCTCTCTCTCTCTCTCTCTTCCTTCCTTCCTCCCTTCCTCCCTTCCTCCCTTCCTCCCTTCCTCCCTTCCTCCCTTCCTCCCTTCCTCCCTTCCTTCCTCCCTTCCTCCCTTCCTCCCTTCCTTCCTCCCTTCCTCCCTTCCTCCCTTCCTCCCTTCCTTCCTCCCTCCCTCCCTCTCTCTCTCTCTCTCTCCTTCCCTCTTTCTTGGCATGTGGCATGTGACAGCATATGTTTGTATTTTAAAACTTTGAATGTTTCAATTAATTCAGATTAGATTTTACAATTTCTGAGAACAAATTATTTAAGTTAATTGGATGCCGTAATAAAAGCATGTCCTCTTTCTAAACTCCACATCTCCAGTCTTAAATGAACATTTTCGAGATATAAGGTGAATATGTTCTATGATACCATATGGAGTTTGGTAACTTTTAAATTCATAATAATAGCTAGCTATTTCTTTTTGAATAAGTGACTTAAAAACTAAGATAAGCTGAAAAATAAGCAGATCTGTGAGAGAAGGCATTACTTCCCTCTGCTGTAAATTGATGCTGTTGCACTGAAACTGGTGAGGTTTTAGTTTCTGTGGTAACTTTAATTTGGGCGTTTCAGTTTATTTTCCGCATTACCATATCAGTTGTGTTGTGTGATTTTATTTTTCTTAAATCTAAAAAAAAGTTGCCATCTTGCTGCATAACAACACCTACAAATGGAGATGGAGAAATGCTGGCTCACTACAGCATCTAGTCATAATCATGGAATCACAGAATGGCCTGGGTTGAAGAGGACAACAATGATCATCTAGTTTCAAGCTCCCTGCTGTGTGCTGGGTCGCCAATCACCAGACCAGGCTGCCCAGAGCCACATGCAGCCTGGCCTTGAATGCCTCCAGGGATGGGGCATCCACAACCTCCTTGGGCAACCTGTTCCAGTGCTTCACCACTCTCCTAATATCTAACCTAAACTTCCACTCTCCTCCCTCTTGTCCTATCACTATTCACTCATTTAAACAGCCATTCCCCCTCCTGTTTATATGCTCCCTTGAAGTACTGGAAGGCCACAATGAAGTCTCCCTGGAGACCTTCTCTTCTCCAAGTTAAACAAGCACAGCTCTCTCAACCTTTCCTCAACCTTTCATTTTAAAATGAGTTTGAGCATGTGGTAGTATTAAGATGGTAAGGCTGTAGCTGGAATTTCTTTCACGTGGAAGAGTCTATTTATGTATTTTACTGGAGGTACTGGAGGTTGCATTTTACGTAGGAAACATAATTCCTGCAGAGCTATTCGTTTTATTACAAAGTTTTCACAGTTAATCATCTCTTCACAAATAAACAGCAAGGCTTGTGGGTAAACACATTCTTCTTTGCTTTAGCTGTTTTCTTAAACAGATACTGTGTTTCAGTTGCTTGTTGGTTTACTAGCTCTTGTGCTTTAATGTTTTGCATGGCAAGGCAACGTTTTTCCCCCCAAAGGCAAAGTCCCTTGCTGCTGTTCTGTGGAGAGCCTGGAAAATCAAAGAGCCACCTACTGACCCTGCCTATTGTCTGGCCTTGTTGCCTTCTATCAGTAGCACACCACAATCAGCAAGCTACATGTGTATCTCGTGCTTGCATGGGCTTTGGCAGACCCGTCCCTTGCACCTGTTTGCTTATGCATGAGCTGTGCATGTTTGAATCCAAATAGCTGATGGAGAAAGAAGGCAAAGCCACTGTCAGGCACTTTTCATTACGATGCTCAGAGAAGCCACGGCACAGCAAGGATGCAAGGGCAAGAGAAATATTGGCAGAGTCCACCAGCGTACTACAAAATTAGGAATTTTAATAGCTGTGGACAGTTCATAATGGGATATTAGTCAATAAACTATCTGAGGAAAGGCATCTGAATTTTCTTAATTAAATTCTCAGTTTTGATCTCAGATTGGGAAGAGGATCACTCCTCTGAGTGTGATTGGAGAATCTGTACATTTTTTTGGGCAGAACCTTATTCATGATAAGAGTTGATTTAAGTCCTATTCAGACTGAGTAAGGATGACAGAATCTAGCCTGTTATCTGTTAGGAAATCTAATTAGTCTGCTTAGTCTTGCTGGCATATGCTCACAATTGTTACTGGTGAAGATTCTCTTGACTTTTCATTCATGTGAGTAGGAGTCTCATTTAACCTTGTTCACCAAATGATTTTTAGTTTTTTTTTTTGTTAGATATTTCTCATACAGAATCTCTTACATAAATGTGTTGGAGAAGATGCACAAATCATTCTTTGCCTCAAAACATTACATACAAGTAATGTCTTATTTAGCTACTGTTGCTCATGATCCTGTTTTACTGAATTGAGGGTAGTATTTTCTGCAGGGTGATAGGAACATTCTTGCAGCTCTTGAGTTAAACAACTAAATACTATAAAATAAAGCAATTTAATAAAAAATATTACCTAATACATAGCCTTGTGTAGTGGATAGATCAAGTAATTTTTGCCATAATTGAGCAAATGCCTGAGTGATTTCATTTCAACATCATTCATATGTTTATATAGGTGCTGTTAGTGCCCCTGAACTTAAGTTGCTGAAACTCAGGTCATTGATATGTAGTCCCTCAGAGGGAGATAGGCATCTAAATAGCTTTGTGATTGATTCTCCTTTGAAGGTGGGTTTTGGGGTCTGAAGATACTTCTGTGATTTTGTTCTTACTGAAAGAACCTATGGATACTCAGAACTACAGAAGAATGTGTGGGACTTAAAGTTACTAAATTATTTGAACTGAGAGTTGGTAATCTTGCTCTCCACGTCAGTGAATTTTTCTCCGAAATACGTATCTAATTACACCTACTATACTGATGACTCCTTTTTTCCTCTGCCTTTCAGAAGTATCTTTATATCTTCATGAGAACTCACATAAATTTAGGAAGATGGGATGTTTTATTTTCCTCTAAGATAAGAAGGTTTTCTTCTTTTGCATGGAGAAGACACTGTAAAACAAATTAATTCTAATAAATTAGTACTTGAAGTGTTCCTGTAATACCTTTTCATAAGGTAAAATTTTGATGCTATAAAAAGTAATTTAATGAACAAATTTAGCTTATTGAGGTGGATTTATTCTGTGTAATTCACTACTGCACTGGAGATTTTCCTGTGTTTTTTATGGGTATGAATGAGCCAGCGCTTCTAATATGCTTATTCCAGTGTGCTTCACCTCCAGTGCTTTTTCTCATACAGCTATTATCTGACAAAAGGGGAAATAAAAAGAAGAACAAGACACAATCCTTTGGTTTATTTTGCACATTCAACTATGTTAGAAAAGATATGGTCAGTCCTATAGCAAGGACAATAGCATTTGCAATTCAATATGTGTAATGAATTCCAGAAAGAATCTTCCTCATACTTGTTGTCCAGCAGTAGAGCTGTTGTCTTTCTGTACCTCACACAGACTCAACAACTGAACATTTTGAAAATTGCATACAGAGTTTCAGGATTTGGGTAGAAGGCAATGCATCTTCAGATCCTTGCACAACTAATTTAATTTCAACAATGGATTTTAATGACAATTAAATAAATATTTATAATACTATTTTCAAAGTTGCCAGGTGCTTAGACTGATAAATTTAAGGCCTGAGAGCTTAAAAATATTTCTTTTTTATTTGACTGTTTTTTTGAGCTCAAAAATATTCAGATTTTTTCTATCATTACTTAATACAATTTTTACAATTTTTTTTTTTGTTGTTGTTTCCTCGTGCTAATTCTTTTACTGTGATGTCTTTTTTAGAAGAAGCTTTTTATTTTAAAGCACTTTTGATCAAATTGACTCTATACCTAAGGAGAAGCAATGTAATTAACTCTTAAGCAGCAGGTGCAGAAGTTCCATTGAATTCAGTGGTAACAGTGGGAACTCATCCCTTCCTAGTGGGACATGCAATACCACTTAGTTCCCTTGTTCATACAACTTCTAAATCCTGACAGGTTTAAAATTTCCAGAGCTAACATGCCATCTTCACAATAGATCTGTAGATAGTAAAATAGTTAGTAGAGGCCTTTATGTATGTTTTCTTGGGTATTACTGATATGACACAGACTGCAGGAACTGTTGCAGAGAGGTTATTTATGAAGAGTCTCCTCGAGCCTAAATACAGTTCACATTCAATAGGTTTCAGAATTGGAGAAGCATCCCTATGTCCCTGTCCTATTTGTTCCCTTGCTTTAGGAACAGAATTATGAAAGGTAATACGTTTAAGAGTTCAAAGACAAAATCATGTTTCAAGTTATGATGGTACAGTTGGATACTTTGAATTTTACACATTTTGTGAATATTTATGTACAGATGGATAGTAGTATTTTAGCATAGATTAGCTATAATGTTTTTGGATTACTTTTCCTGTGCTTATTGAGCATTTCTAATATGCATTAATATGTTCAAAATATACAGAAATACTTTGATGGCCTCTAATGAAAGACAGAAAATTTATCACGAGACCAATACTAGCCACAAGGTTTATACATCCATGTGGATTGAGGCCCTTTACTACAGTTACTCAGCTTCTAACATCCCTCTTATCCTCTTCACAGCTTGAATTTCATCACCTATGTGTTTACTGCCTGAAAAAAAAAATGTTGAAAGAGTGCTTTAAGGAGGATAGTTTATAGGCTTGGTTTCATTCAGCTTTGTAACAGACATGATCTGTATATTTTGGTGACAGATCTTTCATTTCTAACATCTTTCTCCCCTTCTCATCTTGTTTCGACTGTCAACTCATGTTTTCTCATTTTTACTTTACATTTTGTGTACGTTTTCATTTTAGCTTAAACACTTCTAACTATGGTTATAGATAATTTGAGAAATAACAGAGAACCATATGAAAAACAGCAAAGAGAAAGTGCTTTCCCAGGAAAAATGTCAAAATTGTATAATTTTTTTTTTCTCTCTCATCTGTCTGCTTCCTCCCCCAAGCCCTGTTTCTCCTCCCCCCCCCCCCTTCAATGGATGTATAATTACCTCTTTGTTTCAGTAATGTGAAACAAAAATTAGATGCAAGAGAAAAATCTAAATAGAAGGACTCTAAATGCTTTTTTGAAATGAAGAATTTAACTAAACCACTCTAAAGTCCCCTGCTGGGCTCAGGCAAGCTGAAATTAATTCAAGAAGGCAGATAAAAATTTTAACCAGCCCGAGTGGAGATGATGGATGTGACAGCTCTCAGTTAAAATGTCTTTTAGTGGCAAATGCATGCTTATTAGTCAAGTGATGTGACATAACTGTCCTGGGTGAGAGAAGATGAACCAATGACCATTTGCATTGAGAACAAAAGAAAATTTTGAAGACTAAAATATGAAAAGGAAGAAAGAAACAAGTTAATATCCACTTTCTATATGTACATCTATACAAACACACATATGTATGTTCACAAATGTGAGAATGATTGAACTTTAAAAATCTTGGTAGGAAGTCATTTATTTTTGAATTTTCTTCTTAGATAATAATTGAAAAACAATAAACAGTGATTTGAATGGGGTTTAGAAACTAGTTTTACACTTTTTTTTTACCTTCTGGGTGTATTTTTTTGCACATTTTTTGACAAAGAAAAGCTGAAGTGTTTGTCTGTTTGTTGCTGATGTACACACTTGGCATTTTAGAAACCTCTCTCTTTGGAAGGATGCATTGGGCTTCTTCCATGGGTTCTCAGATACAATGCTGATCATCTGCTAAGGATGCAGTCCATTGCAAGACACTGCAACATAGATAAGTAACAGCAGCTGTGGACTTTTAAGAAAAAGAAATTATCTGTAAAGAAAATACTTCAAGAAATCTTAGTTAGTTTACCACATTATATATATGTATACTTAATATGATTTAGGAGCATATGCTACCAAATTACAATAGTTCCCAGTTAGAGCTGCCCAGGTAATTGAGTTTCAGTATTATTATTCTTATTTTTCCCCGCTATAATCAAATTGTATTATCATAATTTTGTTATTAGGATGTACCTCTCACTGTGTACCTCAATAACATTCAAGGCCACATCTGGATGTCACTGTTTTTAGAATGCTGCGGGGGAGTGGGAGTAAAGTACTTGAATATTTTGCTAATAATGCTTGGTAGCAAAGTAAGAACCTAACCTGACCGCTCTTACAGAAGAAATTTTTTTAAAAGATTCATGATTGGAATCTCAAGACTAATCAGGCATTTTGGATGGCTATTTTGTTTTCTTTCTGATGTGCTTAAATTAATTCTCCTCAAAAACTCTAATTTTGATATTCAGTGTAAAAATGTATATTCTGTTTCCACTTTCTGATACTTACACGTACATCTCTGTGCTAGCTTATTGTATTTCACTTCAAAGAAGTAGTATTCATTCACAGAGTTTCAGCTATTCAAGAAAGAACTGTAAAATGGGGCCAGAGGGGTAAGAAACAGTAAAATGCTGACCTGTTCAGAAGTAAACTACAATTCAGCAATCCCATGGCAGGCTACTCATTAACATTTTAACAAGAGTAGCTAATAGCACAGCAGTCTTAGAACAATGTGTCTGTTTACATTTGCTCTGCAGACTTTTTTTTTATGCTTCCTCTTTGTTGTTTCTTTAAAGGCAATATTTAAAAATTTAATCTGAGCTGCTATGAGCTGTTTTCTGGAGACTTTTAGTCAAAAGAAGAACACATGGTTAGTTTATTTTAATTAAAGAGACAAACATGTTATGGGCTATTGGTTTTTCTTTATTCCGATATTCAGGCTTGCCTCCACCTTGAAAAGATCAGAGAGTAAATCAACTCCTTTTCTAAAAGTTCAAATTTCCAGTTTTTGTCAGCATATTCATGAATGTGTGTTGTGTTGGGCTGGGTAGAAGCTTGTAGCGGTTTCTCACTCTGTCAGCTATCCCCCTGACTCTGAGCAAGCCTCTACCTTTTTTGTGTTTCAACACGTATCTGGAAGGTGAAGACAACATTAATACACAATATTAACTGCTTTTTCGATTCATAATGTGAATACAGTTAATGTACATCCAAGTGGGCAGTGTACAACTTTTCTGGGGAGATGAAAAATTTAATGTTATTTCTATAGGCTTGTGCCTGACAGTTCAGAGTATTATGTTACATATCCAGGGATGACATAAGCCTGTAGCCCCAAAAAGATTTGTGCTAAAAACTCATAGTTTTTTCCTAAGTTCCTAAGTCATTCAGTAAATTAATAGTGAAAGAGTATAATATAAAATACATGGACTAAATTACACCAAAATAAACCCCGCATGTCTAACATATTCCTATTTAAGAATTTGATTTCTTTTTTTTTTAAGTAACAGAAGTTTAAATCCTTAGTGGCTCTCTAGCTTACTGTGCTTATCATATTACCTACCAGCATATTGTCTATCAGTCGAGCTAAAGAATATATCAATATTTTGGGGATGTTGCCCATGGAGAAGTTATCTTTATTTGCCTGATTTTCCAAAGTATGTGTAGCTAAGGAATACAGTTTCTTTCTGTAGCACCCTAGGGTGTATCCCTGTGGCTATTTCCAGCATTAAAAATTATTTCATATGGATTTTTTGGTGTATTTAAAATCCACTTGAGATTGAAGTTAGTTGATCTTAGTCAATGTTGAAATGACGTAGGATGCTCTGAAAATAATGCCTCCTATTTAATTCTATGGAAACTGCAACAGATGCAAAAATCACAATAACATTATTTGATAGAGCAAATTCTCAGCTACAAAACTCTATTTTCATTATAGTCACCACCATTAACTATGTGTTTCTGCCAGTGATAAACCAGAGACTGCATGCTGTGCTTGTAGAAATCTGCATCAGCAGATGTGACCTACTGTCGCTGTCACCACTGCTGAAATGCATCACCACCATCTCATTGTGCTCATGTCCACTGTTTGGTCTCCATCAACATTCAGCAAACAGTAGTGAATGTCAGTGGGCACCATTTTTTCCAGATTGAATAATTCAGTGACTTACCTTTGTTTCATCCCCCCTTCTATGTCAGATGCCTTTTTGTTAGAGGCTCTGCTACCATCTGTTATATGGCAAAAAAACGTAATGGGAAGATTCAACTTCTACTGCCACATCAACCAGCATCCACCTCTGACCTCATGGGCCAATATAAAAAATTTGACACATTACTTTTGGAGCAGGCATCATGCAATTTTTAAGATTTTTAAGACATTAATACCTATTAGTCACAGAAACGCTTCTTTAATGGTTGCTTGCACTTGTATTTGGTAGATTCTGCATTCAAAATTGAAAGAGATGCTGCCAGATGCATTCTGTATATAAATAATAATAATAATAAGGATAACAAAATTATCCCAAGAATGAGCACAAGATGTTTTTCATGAGTGTTGGCTTCAGAATTCAATGAATTTGCTAATGAGCTACAGGTGACTTCCCTTTGAATACTGAATCTTTTCCACATGCTATGGGACTCCTAGTTCACAGCAAAAAACCTGTAATATGCTTGCCACTTATGATGGAATTCTGTGTCCATAAACAGTGAAATCAGTAGCCTTGACAGTCGTACTCAGTGCAAGAACTTCACTGGCAAGAAATAGTTTCATGCTTTTTGTATACATATCTTTTCATTCATCATTTTGACTGTTATTTCTGATTTCTTTCTGTGTCAGGTTCTTGCTGAGCAATTAGGACGAGGTACCCTTTGGACCATTATTAATATAACGAATGCATTAAATCTGCGTGAATAAGAACTTTCTTTGAGGCTTGGGATGTTTGCTACTTCAGAAAGTGTATACAATGTACCAGATTCTTTGCTGTGCTTCTGACAAAATTATTTAAAAAATTCTAGGCTAGGATGACTTTTTGTATTATTATTTTGTAAGAAAACAATGCTTTTAGCTATTCAGATTTATTCCCCGTAGGCAGATTCCATTTTATAAAATGTCTGTATTTAGTCACTATACAGAATATATGTACAAGTTTTAAACTTTCATTTGTTCTAAGTAAAACATTCACCCCACTGCAGTCTCGGTTTAGGATTTTGTAGCAATGTCTACCTTACTGTATAACTTAGGTTACTTCTTTATATATGTGTCTAGCAAATTTGTAGTAATTTAAAGCATTTGAGAATACTGATGATATTTTTTTTTCCCCAAGATCTCTGTAGCACATTTGAACACATGCTTGTCAATATGCTTTTCTGAAGGTAACTATTTTTAGAGTCAACTATCTAAACTGGAAAAGAGAATTAATGATAATGTACATAAAGATGAGCCAGCTTTCCAATAAATGAATGTGAAAGCAGTGTCAGTACTGTATTGGTGAACTAAATGATTGGAGTCTAAACCAAATGGAGTGAGATAGGCATTTAATCAATTTTTCTCTCTAGTGTAGCTTAATTACAAAAGGGACTTATCATTTGGAAAGCTTTTGGGGTGTAACTGATTCGGTTACTTTCACACATGGCTTTCAGGGTATTTCTGAAGTATACATTAAGATAATGTAAGAAAGCTAGTTTCATTAAACTCAGTGCAAGATGGTGTGAAAGGGGAAAGCTGACACTTATCAAATATTTAAGGAAGTTATTGTTATGCATTTGCACTTCAAAGCTGCATACTTAAAAGAGGCAAGATGTTTGTGTCTAAGTAGTCTGATTATGAGCACTTGCGCATGACACAAGACAGGGAATGCCAGTTCCTCTTGACTGACATGAAACTGGTCTTTGGACAGATCTATAGTCTTAACGTAAACATCATATACCTTAATTTTATTCCTGGGAGAAGTATCCTGCATAAAAGATCCCTTGTTATCAATATAAGTCTCTCTTTTCAAACAGTTGTTTTGCTTTGCTTTGCTTTTTTTTTTTTTTTTTTTTTTTTTAATTCTGGTGCTTACACACATGAATTTTCATTTCTACTTAATTTATACCAGTCTTAATTTCTTTGGTACAAATCTGTACAATAACATACTAGGAATAGTACGTACTGTTCATTTCACTTTAACTCTGACTTTAACTTACTAATGATAATGAGGAACATCATTCAGCTTCTGTAATGTTGGACTACCTTCATATCTCAAATAGAAACTACATTAAGGTTATTGGAATAAGTAAAATTCAAACAAAACAAAGAAGTGGCTGTTATTCCATATTATTTTATCAGAATGTATCATTTCAGGTATGGTGAATTTTAAACAGCTTAGCTGTGGATAAAGTTGCTATTTTGCTCAATAATAAAAAGTAAGACATTAAAGATCTTTCTGCTTTTGTTGCTCTAGGTCTAATTTTTAAATTGTATTATGAAGTAGATTAGTTTGTTAGAAGCATCGTGCAGCTACTGTCTTCATTTTTACTAAGTACATCTTGTAAAAAAAATCTGAAAATCAAGGGAGGGATGTGTGTTCTAAATCACTTTTCTAATCTAAGTACTTGCTCTGTTTTGGATTTGACTGAAACCCTTTTTTAAGTTAATGAATTTTTATTTTTATCTCAATGATAGCAGGCTCATCTTAAATTATTTAGTAAATTTTGTTTGAAAAATAGAAAATAGGAAAGTTCTGGTTTGTTTTTTCTTATGGATATGGACTTTCAAGCTTTTTCAACCCAGAGGCTGATACTTGTCCATTCCATCTGAAAATGTGATATGGAAATTGAAGCTAGCATTCAAAGACCTCACAGAACGAAGTTGACTGAGTCAATCATGGCTGCCCTGCAATAAAGACTTGTGCTTATCAGCAGCAAGATTATTTAAGCAAATGAAACTATGAAAGACATGAAAGATCAAAAGGTCAATTTTCAAGCTCTATTAATTCTTTTTTTTTTTTTAAAGCTAGACTAAACCTCATGGTTTCAAGAGACTCATAAATTTGACTAGTCTATTTGTGAGGTACAACATCTATGATCTTAGTTGTGATAACAAATGATTGTCATGCCAAAGTGAGAAAGTGAGGAAGTCACTGTATCATTTTAGAGAAATCTGGAGTGACATTTCCATCTCCACCAAAATCCTTTTTGCCACAAGCAGTACTTATCCAAAGTATTTGTGTCAGACTTCAAACAAAACTGTGTGTACTACTGAACATTAATCGAGTGAATAATCGCATGAAAGGAACACCATCAAAGTTTATCCAATTCTCTGTTTTAAGAAATATTTCTAGTTTAGGAAATACAGTACTTTAGTTGTAGTACCAAAGGCACAAATGTCATTATAGTCATTGAACGAGTTGTCAGGTATTCAATCGTCTTTACAGAAGGTTTACAGTTTTCTTTGCATTCACATATTCCATTCCTTCATTAGTCCCACATGGTGAAAGGATATTTGACAAAGGACAGCTTTCCTTTTTGGTCTCTCAAGTTTGAGGGAGATGAAAATGATAGATTTTTCTGTTCCAAAGCCTTCAATGTCTATCTTTGTACATCTTCAATAAAAAAGATTATTTTATTATTATTTTATTATTATTTATATATATAAAAGTTGTAATTGTGTGTGTTAACTTATATGAACACTTTCTCAAGTATTTTTCATTCATAGGATACTACTATAGTTATAGTCATGGGCATGAATATAATCCTAGAATCACAGAACAGAATAATAGAACCATTGAATGTATGTTTTGCTTTGTAGAGACTAAACTTCAATTATTCAGGTCATTAAGGAAATAAAAAAGTACTTTAAAAGGATAACTTCAGCTAAAATTGAACCAGGTTTTTTTGTAGTGTTGGCATATATTGGAAAAGCATTAATGGAAAATTAATTAGATAGTTGATTTAGGAGTTAATATCTGTTCTAAATAAATAATTGACTGACCAATTTTCTGTATGAGGGAATTTATACACAGTAATATGCTATACTTAGTAATATACTTCTAGGAGACATCAAATTTGCAGTAGATTGAAGCAACATAGCTTTATAGCGGTAAATTGGTTTGTTGTATTTATTCTGTTGCTACTGAACAGGTCTCTGAGCTCTAAGAATACGTAATACAAGAGTCAAAATATATTTATTCTTACTTCTGTTAATTTTTAAAAAAATGATAACAATATGTTTTTGTCTTTTTTTTTTTTTTTTTTTTTTACTTAAAACATAGTTATTGAGTGATATGCAAAGAAACATACATTGGCTTTATGAAATGGAATGTTTTTTCCTGTGTTCCTCTTAACTTCCCCTTATGATAACGTCTAGTTAGCAATCTGAAAGGAAAACACTGAGTTATTAAATACTCTTACATTAAAATTAAATCCTATTCCTGCAGATGATATTTTTTTCCGAAGTATTACAGATGAATCTTTAACAATGCAACAAACAGAGAAGATGAAAATCTTCCTGTATAGCACATCAAATCACCATTCAAAATATGGATTATTAACTAAAAATGTTACTAAGCGATTTTGAATGATGGATCACTGTTCTAACAGCTTATGTTCCCTTTTGCAGTTATTCTGTGAGTTTCAGCAAATCTCTTCGACCATAGTTTGAAAACTATCATCCAGTGTCAAAAACTAGTGGCCTGTTGTCATCATTCTATTTCACGGAATTATTTCTTTGTAATACATAGCTGGAAAAGTATATAACTTAATAAATAATTGCTAGAAGAGTTCATAATGTGTGTTTTACTGTCAGTAAATCTCTGTGTATATAGTGATGCCATATGTTGTCATTGTTTTTTAGAGGTCTTAAAAAAAACTAAACAACAGTCAGCACTAGCCACACCTGCCCCCCAAAAAAATTAAGTAAAATAGACAACCAACCAACATCTGTTCATTGGCAATGAAGTCAAGACTCCTTGTTACTCATCTTTGTAATTGCTTACATCTCAAAATAAGATGTCCTGAAGTCAAGGGAAATCCTACAAGATGACGAGAGCCTTTCCTGAGACTTGATGGTAGCTCTTGCTACTCTGCGGTGAAATGTCTTGTCATGATAGATAGTAAGTTTAACTTTTACTATTAAGTTTCTATGCTTATGCTGTGTAAAACCAGCAGATCTACTTAAGAATCAGAACTGTACAGTGCTCTGTGTTCTGTTCCAACATGGAGTACTGTACAAATTTTGTTCCTTGTCCTGTGTTTCTTGGTTATTTTGAAATTTAAAATAGGTATTCCTTACCTCTACTCTCATTGGCTGTATTATCACAGGTGCTTTTATAAATTTATATAGTATCATAAGTACAAATAATGCTTAAACAAACACAGAAAACTCCTAAAATATTCTGCTGAAAAATATATTGCATTATGCAACATATATAATATATATTACTTTTTCACAGCATTTGTATTTATAAAATAATAATAATAATAATAAAAGATTACATTACAGAAGAAGAACTGTTTAGATATGTCTGGGGGGGGGGCAATTGGGAACTAGTGAGTTGGGATTTGAGTAAGATAAAGGAGTATCTATCAAGCTCCTTCTTTAAATTTTATTTTTTCAAACCCTCAGGAGCAGCATTCTAAAGAATATATTGCAAGTACTCAGTTTGGAAAATGAAAGTCCCATTTCTGTGAAAAATCATTTGGAACCCATCTGTTTATATTTCACAAAAGCGGCAAGTGCAAGACATATAAATGATTGAAGATTTTGTGACTTGCAAAGGGCAAAAGAGTGAATGAGACTGTCTGTTTTACTTCTCTTAGATTCTCTTTATAATCTGATGACTAAAATTGCTTCATCTGCTGCCAAAAAAGTAATTAG